AGGACGGGCACTCGGCGCTCTTCTCCGCTTGTTTGCATGGCAACACCGACGTCGTGCGCTTCTTGCTGACGCTGCCTGACCTGGACGTGAACGTCCTCTGTGTAAGTTTGCGTGTACGACAAACTTTGTCCGAGCTGGTGTTGAGGTTTGGTGCGGGCTGTAGTGTGGAGACTTAGCCGTGACGGTGGCGACCCTGTACCACCACATCGACATTGTGGAAATGCTGGTGGCACACTCGTCGCTGGACGTGAACAAACTTGATCAAGTAAAAACTCGTCTCGACCATGCCAGACACTGCACGATTCGCCTGACTTGGACCGAGCAGGACGGCTTTTCAGCGCTTGCGCATGCGTGCTTCGAAGAATTCGAAGACATCGTGTTGCTGTTGCTAAAACACTCGGCGATCCAACCACTGGCGGTACGACGCCCTCCATCCATGCCGCCGTCAGTCCAGCTTCGTCGTGAGTAGGGCACCAAGTCCGCATTTACTCGGTCCGTTGAAAAGGGCCATTCGGGCATCCTTGACCATTTGCTCGCGCACACTCCCCTACCAAGCAGTGTGCTGCCGTCGGTGCGTGATCGAGCTGCTCGTCGCATGGTCATCACTTGCGCTTTGGCAGGGAGAATTGCCGCTCGCGGTCATGGCGTGCCAACGAGGCCACCTGGATGTGGTGAAGCTGCTCCTGACGAAAGGCCTGTTTCAAAACGACCCGCCAGACGTAATGTTTGTCGCCACCATCGAATCACATCACTCAACAGCGCCGTGCAGATTCAACGGCAGGCAGTGTACCAAGCTCTGGCGAACAAGCGCATCAAGTTGTCGCGATTCCTGCTTCTCGACAACTTTGCCAAGCTCACGTTGGCGCGAACGCCTCCGGTAACGACACCACATCCATCCCATGGACAAACAGCAATCGCATACGCAGGGCGAACGGACCTTGCTCCACGCAGCGGCGGCAATTGGAAACGAAGCGATGGTGGCCGCGCTCGTCGGGCATCGCGTTGACGACGTTGCGGCACTCGATAGCGTACTTCATTCGCCGTCACCCTCAACTTTGACTTGACATGCGATAGAACCACGAATCAGCGCTCCATGTCGCGGCGAAAGCAAGCAACTGGGAAGTTGCCATTCGTCTCTTGAGTGCCGACTTGCCGATCGAGATTGTACACGGTCAAGTGGTGCCAAAATCGAGTCCTGGGCATTCCTGGACTGCCTTCGCCGACCCGTCTGGACCGTTTGCAATGGTGGACGAATCGACCCGCTGCGCCGTCGTGCGGGCGATTGTGCTGCAGTTTCCAGAGTCGAAACAAACCGATGTGGCCCAAGCGTTGCTCGCAGCCATCCATCCGACGTCCAACCAAAGTGTCGGGACTTACATTGACCCGGCATCGCTCAACCTATTGACCTTGTGGTACAAAGTCCATGCCATCGCTGGCCACTGACATGACGACAGGGCCACATCGACCCCTGTGGCCGCTGCAGATGGCTCAGACGGAGAAGAGGTTGCCATGGCTCCACTCATTCGAGTGTAACAGCGATTTGTAGGACCTCGCTGGTGGTGGCGACGACCATGCAAACAAAACCTCGATCGATGCCGCATCAACTTTGAATTTTTCCAAACCGTCGCGCCCGCCAGGAGTCAGCAGTGACGCTGGATCGTCCGACAGGTCTAGCGCTCGCCTACGAAAGTCCATCATGCTGCAGCCCATGCAGCATCTCAACTCGAGCGTACGTCGCGCGTGGCGCAGCGGACTAGATGGCTGCGAGTAGGTGAGCGCGAACGAGATGTTTTACCTGGCATGTCAGTCGGGGGACATCAACATGGTGCGATCTCAACTGCCGCTGGCGAGTTCCGGAAAGCTCGACTTGAATCGGTTCACGCATCATCAGGTAGGATGGCCGATGCATCCATGGTTCGAATGGATGGACCGTAGGATACGCCGCTGTGTGTGGCGTGTGTCGAAGAGCGCCTCGACATTGTGGCCCTGCTGCTGTCCCAGCCATCGATTCAAGTCAACTTGTGCAACTACGTACGTCATCGCAAGCCTTCTCGATGCCCCACAACGTTCCGACAATTGGCTCTAGTCGCACCCTCCTCTTACGTTAGCCGCCGGTCTCGGGCGCGTCGAAGTCGTCGAGCTTCTTCTCAGCCACCCATCCATCGACGTGAATGTCGCTACAGCCGTCCGTTTGACAGAATCCAATGGCGTTGGCATGACCACGTTGGCTTAGAGGCGAACCCCGTTGACTGCGGCGTGCGAAAACGGTCACTTGGCTGTGGTCAGGCTGCTGTGCGCGCGGCCCGACTTGAAACTCAACCTCCTCGACCATGTACGAAGCAGCACATCGTCAGCAACATCTCAGGCGGTAACCCCGCGACAACGTGGCAGGACGGGCACTCGGCGCTCTTCTCCGCTTGTTTGCATGGCAACACCGACGTCGTGCGCTTCTTGCTGACGCTGCCTGACCTGGACGTGAACCTTCTTTGTGTACGACAGACGGCACAGACTCCTTGGCGACACGAACGTGCCAGAGGATTTGGACAAATCGCCCATGTCTCGCTGTAGTGCGGAGATTTGGCCCTCACGATCGCAACAGTGTACCACCACACGGACATCGTGGACATGCTCTTGGCAATTCCATCGCTCGACGTGAACCACCTGGACCAGGTAGCGTCGGACGCGATGCTGTGAAGATGACGTCGCTACCATATTCAAGGACGGACTGTCGGCGCTCGCACACGCGTGCCACGAAGGATTCGATGACATCGTGTCGACGCTGCTCAAGCATCCCGCGATTCAGCTGCGCACGGTATGCCGTCGCCCTTGTTGTCCGAGCACTGAACGCGAAGCAGGGAACCAAGTCTGCGTTTACACGAGCGGTCGAGAAAGGCCATGGCGCGGTCTTGGACCGGTTGATCGCCCACGAGCCCCTCACCAGCACTGTGCAATCGCCGGTTTGGCCATGTCGCGCCCGATCCTTGCATGACGTGGTTGTGCCGTAGACGGAACTGGCGCTAGCTACCGTGGCATGCCAGCGCGGACACTTGGGCATTGTCAAGCTGTTTGTGACTCGAGGAATATTCCAGAGCGATCCCCCAGACGTGCGCGCACCAACCACAGACAGCGCCTTCTGCTGACGTTGTCGTCACCTGCAGGTCCAGCGCATGTCGTTGTACGAGGCCGTGGCGAACAAGCGGCTGAAAGTGGCTCGGTTGCTGCTCGATACAACAGGCATCGCGTGGGCTCCAACCCCAAAGGTGTGCTTGGCGCACGTGACCCCAGGTTCACTTGTCGATGGCAGGGGCAATCCACTCTGCTCCACGCGGCCGCGTTGGGCGGAAGCGAGACCCTCGTGGCGGCGCTCTTGGCTCGGAACATTGAAACGATCGGAGCACTGGACACGGTAAGTCATGGCGGTCTTGAACCGGCACACGTTTGTCGTCATGGTTTCGTCCAGGAAGATCGCACGGCACTCCAACTTGCTGTGCACGAAGGCAATTGGGGCGCGGCGACGCTCTTGTTAGGCGCGGATTTGCCCGTGGAAGTTGCGATCGACGGCCACGTCGTCCCGCGCGTCAGCTACGACCATTCGTGGACCGATTTCGCCGACCCGTGCGGGGTGTACTCTGTCGTGAACGAATCGACGCGTTGCGACGTTGTGCGCGCGCTGATGCTGCAGTTTCCTGAAGACAAGCAGGTCGACGTGGCGCAGGGCTTGCTGGCGACCATGATCGCGGCCACCGGCTGCAGCGTCGCATCGTACATCGACAAGAAATGCTTGAATCTCTTGTCGACGTGGTACGGACGATATTTGTCGCCACCCCTGAGTGTGCTGTAGGGCGCCATCACCACCCTTGACCGACCCCAGCGCGTGCGAGAGCCGACGGGTGCGTTGCGTCGCCAGCAACTCTTCTCATGATGCCGCGTCATAGACACTTCGAACGCCAGGCGCAGTGTCCATCGATAGGGTATGTGGCACCTGTTGGACCTGGCGCTGACGCCGCAGCCGTAGATCCAGACGACCGACGCGATGGGCACGTAATGTCGACTCGACTGCTGCAGGAGAACTTTGAACAATGCGTGGCATACATTTTGAAGCCGACGTGATGCGTTTGCTGGACAATGCAATGAAAGCGAGTAGTTGCCTGGCATGTGGACGGCGCAAGGACCCGCTTAGAACGTTCATGTTGGGGTCGTACAAAGGCGGTAGAGCTGGGGAGCCCAAGGGGTGGTCGTTGGTTATACCTCCAACTCTTGAACGAAATTGGTTTGCGCCTGCCCACTCGATCGAGACCAACCGCTCTTCAGCTCAGCGCGACAGCAGCCATAAGCGCGGTCACGATCCCCTCAAACTTGTTTCCCGTGGCTCTTCCCGCAGATGCATTCAGCCAAATCGGATGCTCCCAACAATGTGGACCCTCGACACGAACGGTGGATTGGCGAGCCCGTGGCGCTACTGTCGAGAAGGTTTACACGGTTGCCAACGAGGCATTGGCGCTCACTCGACCTACATACATCTGCGATGTGTCGCCCACTTGCGCGACATTCGTGTGGGGATGAACTAGATTGAACGGTGGGTTCGCGCGCGGGCGTCGAGAGCGGAATTTCTGGGGACTCGTCTTCCCTCTCTTCCGTGCACGTCTTGGCAGATGCCAGCAGAGACTCCCATGTTGTGGTATGATTGAAATGCCTGCAGACGTGGATGTGTGAGAAATGGCACATGAACGTGCTTCGTCGTTCGTGGCGACCCTTCTCATTTGGCCATCGGTCGTCGATTCGTTTTGGTTCTCGTGGGGACGACGACGCAGCAAACGCCACTTGGATAGCATGAAGTTGAGACTTCGGCTCGCGATGCAGCTGAGGTCAGGCTCGTGCCGGTGTGTAGCTGTTTGATCGAGCGCCCTTACCCATCCCGGCCAGCACAACCTCCCAGCGCGCTTTGCGTTTGTTAGGTGTCGAA